TTCTTTCAGACTGGCAGAGGGTTGCGTTTGCGTTGCTGGCGAGACCTCCCTGGAAGGGGCTGGCAAATCTGCAGCCAAAATTTTTAAATACATAATCAATAGTATAGTGCCAGGGATCTCAGGTAACGAACTGAATTCACTCGGAAGGGCTCACCCTCCCACTCCCTCCCCGACTTCTCTGCCGTTGCTCCGGGGGCAACACCCCCTCTAAGTGTAGGCAGTCCCTAGCAACACAGAGCAGTACTTACGGGAGTTCTTCGGCAGCCCGGGGCCGATGCTGACCTGCAGCACTTTGTTGCTGGGCTTGAGGATGGCCTGGTCGCCGAAGCCCTGGTGGAACTGCACCTGCCGGGAGCCCCCTGCGCTCCAGGGCCCCCAGTTCTCCTTCTTCAGCTTCAGCTCAAGCCTACAACAGGCCCACGGGGTGGAATCAGCAGACCCGACTGGGCTGGGATCCTGCCTGCCTGCCTGCCTGCGGCCGGCCGGGACAGCGGGACCGTGCTAGCTGGTACAGTGCTGCTGCTGGGTGCCGAGGGCGAGGGAGGGGCCCGCTTAGAGGCCGGCCAGAGTCACTGCCAGAGGGTTGCCAGACACTGGTGGGGCAGATCCCTCCGCACAGGGCGGTCACTGCAGAGCCCACCCAGAGAGGAGGAGCCTGACACAGCCCAAACCCAGCAGGCTCGCTGACTCCCAGCTCCACGGCGGCGCTGGGTGTCCCCACGGTGCCTAGGTGTCTAGGCAGCAAGAGATTGCTTCCTGGTCCTTAACTCAGACTTCCTCACACTATAATATCTGGGAGGAAGGGCCAAGCCATTTCTACTCCCAAGTGTGAGATTCACTGCTCAGCGGGATGCCAGCATCAGGTACATTATAGCAGGTGGCCAAAAGGAAAGTGGTGACCCAGGACAGGGACCGGGGCTCGGACAAGGCCCTCAGCAGCTTTCACTGTCACTGGGGGAATCCGAGTCCCTCTGCCAATCACTTTAGCCTCCCCTTGGCACTGCTAAGTAAACCCCCTTTTGTTGGTGACATGCCAATCTGCCTTTGCCCTCATGGCTTGGGGGAGCAAGGGTTGTTTTCAGCAGGCTACCCGATCCGGGTAAGTGAGGCCTGCAGGGAGGGGTGAGGGGCTCCCCAAGGCATGAATGTGGGGCCCCGCCTCAAGGCTCCCCTCTCCGCTCCTGGGCGGGACCAGAAATCTAGACCCCAGAGCCCAACTTACGTGTTGCTGAACTTTAGAGGTAGCTGCTTCTGAGTTTTTTCCTCGTAACGCTTTGCTAGGAGGCTGAGGAATTCAGTTTTGAAGACAGATTCAAGCAAACTGTCGTATTCTTGTTCATGGAGGATAAAGATGTCATCCTGCATGGTACTGCGAAGACAGCAGAGGAACTTAAGGAGATCCAATGAAGGTTTTAAAGCCAACACTCACCTTATAAACATCATTTGGTGCTGAGGAGCCCCCCAGCCTGGCTTCTGCTGTGCCCGAGCCGCTCTCCGCCCACTGCTGAGCTCGGTCACTCGCTGCAAAGCCTCGGTGCTCGCTCCCTCCCTTTCCTCCCTTCTCTCCTCCAGGCCTCCAGCAGCAGCAACACCAGCACCGCACCGAGTGGCACAGTGACACCGCCGGGGCTGCCTCCTGTGCTGTCTGCCCTCTGCTCGTGCAGGGAGCAACGTCACAGCTTCAGCCTCGGAAGACACCACAAAGTGCAAACAACAAGAGCAAAAGACAGGAAGCTGTACAACAATGCAGTTGAAGCTTGAAATAACGTGCTTTTCTTTCAAAGATGAAAATGTGTGAGATCCTGAAAATAAGCTGTAAAATAAGAAACACTATTTTATTGTGCCCTTCAGCTACTCTTATTTTTATGCAAATATTTTGGTTCTCTGAGATTTTCTCAGAGAAAATACTGTTCCCAGCTATTCATCTGAAACAGTGTTAATATTGACAATATGCCAAAAACTAAAAACAAAAATAACAGATCAGATTTTCCAATCATTAAGATAATCTAAATAGACACTTTATAAAAAAGGAATTGCAAGGGGCGTAAAAATGTGGAAAAAATGCTCACTATATTTAGCCTTCACCACGGAAATGCAAAGCAAAGCTACACTGAGACTTCATCTCCCTCCAGTCAGAATGGCTGTTATTAAAACAATAAAAATGCTCATACAGATGTGAAAAAACATAATAAAATTGATAAAATCTGTTTTCACAGGAAGTTTATAGCTGACCCAGAACATAATCAAAATACTTCTTCCACGTGATTTTTTTTTTAATGTATTTGGTACAGGGTCTCACGATGCAGCTCCAACTTGTGGGGATCCCCCTGTTTTCAGCCTCCCCAGAGTTGGGGCTACAAGGGTGGTCACCACACCTGGGGGCAGGGCTGGGGCATCCTGTGGTGCCAGGGATCGAGCCCTGGTCCCTGTACTTGTCAAGTAGGCACTTAGTCCACTCAGCCTATCTAGCCAGCCTTCTCTTCTGTGTGATTTCTAAAACCAAGAACTTAAGGACAACTTAGCCTGTATTTTTTAGAATACATTTTTAAGTCCCACTTCTGTGCTCTCAAGGCCGTAAACACCTGGAAGGCCACTGAAGAAATGGGGTGGGACGCGAGCAACTCCACGCGTGGATCTGAGTCAGAGGGTGGGAGCGTAGTGCACACTGTCGTGAAAATTCTGAGTTTGGAGACATGAAGTGTGGGGACCCTGTGGGCCATGGCAGCAGACAGGGGAGGCAGAGGCATCGAGACCTTGGGGGACCAGGAAGGTCACAGCCCTGAAGGATCCCTGAGGGCCCAGACTGGGGTGCACTCCGTGTGACAGGGATGGGCGGCAGGGCCCAGTGGGAAGTGCACTCGGTGGAGAGCAGCCGCAGCAGGGAAGCGCCCTGTGTCCCTGCTGTGCGCCACCACAGCCCCAGGCTGCAGTGGAGACGTGCCCAGGTGTCTCGGAGGGTGACTTTCACCAGGGAGTATGACAGACAGATGGACACTCTGGAGCTGCCTGCCGTGGCAGACTCAGCGCTTCGGGAAAAGCTGCTCGGGAAGTGCGCTCCGGGCAAACGGCACCAGGAAGTCTGCTGACGCGTGTGCCACGGGAGAAGGGACGGCAAGGCGGGGGCAGGATGGAAACCCTGCCTGCTCTGGTGGCTGGGCGCCGGGTGCCACCTGCGCAGAGTCCAGCCAGGTGGCAGTGGCACCAGGGCAGGGCGGCTACTAGTCAACAGGGTGAGGTGCATCCAAGACTAGTTGCCTTGAGAATCTACTGTGCTTAAGAGTTGAGACATTTCCTTAGCGCATTCGGGAAGAGGGAAGCAAGCAGGCCAGAACTCAAGGGCGGCCAGGACCATGAGGCCCAGCGAGACGGCTGGGACACTTGGAGGCCAACCCCACGCCCAGCCGCGCCTCCGGGATGCTGGCGCGAAGATGAGGCCTGGCCCCACCCCGCCCCGCGCTGGCCCCTTCCTGCACCCCACCTGCGCTCCTGGTCCGGGAAACAAAGCTTTTAGGTTTATTCTTAAAAAAACAACAAAAAAACCCAGACTTATTTTTGGACTTCACCCCCGTCTCACTCACGCACTCGTACAAGCGCCAATTCCTTACAGATGTCTGACGCTGTCTCTTGTGCTGGAAAATTCTTTACTCAGTTCTGCTTTGGGTCTGCGGTTGTTTTTGAATTCTCTATCTCAGTGGCTTATTGTATGGCTAGCAGGTCTCTCTCTTCACTAATATATCTGCTGCATAATGAAGTTTGGAAATAAAACAGTACAGTTCTAAAGGAGTCTTTTGAAAAAAGCTGAAAAGACAATTTCCAAAAATAGTCCTGCCTTTCAAGGCTTTATAAATACGTGTGTGTGTGTCTGTGTCTGAGGCAGGGTCTCCCTGTAGCGCAGGCTGGCCTGCGACTTGAGTCCTCCAGCCTCAGCCTCTCGGGCTGGGATTACAGCTGTGTGCTGCCTCGCCAGCGCAAGTTTGACTTGACCACGGAACAAATGCTGCCTTCAGTGCCTCAGAAGACACACAGCCAACGAGGAAAGTAAAGCTCGCCTGGATCCTGCCACTCTTGAGAGCGCCAGGGCACCAGAAATGCCAGCTTCTAGGCGGTGATGTGCTCAGTCTAACCTGAGGGCCACGTGCTGCCAGGCACAGGAAGCCGAGACCAGCGCACGCGTCAGCTCAGCACAGCGGCGCGGACGCAGGGTGCTAGCGTAGGCAGGGGCCCTGTGGCCAGGGCTGGGCACCTGTGTCTCAAGCCCCGCTTCCAGGGCTGCTTTTCCAGGCACACGAAGGTACTCAGAAGTCTGGGTACCCCGGCAGGCAGGCCGGGAGCCTTGGGTCTTAGTCGCTGGTGGCCAGCAATGGAAAGGGAGGGGCATCGGGTTTGGGCAGGGTGAGCCCAGACTCAGTCTCAACACCCGGAGTTGGCGCTCGGCTGTTACCCCCTTTGGACCTCCCAGCACACTGCGCTTTTCAGGTTTGAGTCAGAAGCCAGCATTTGGCTGAAAGGGTCCTGCAAAAGCATGTGCCGGCCTCCTGCCGGGGGACACAGAGCTGCAGGACGCGCGTCCACTGGGCATCCCCTGTGACGCCTGGCCTGGTCTCAGGGCGGCCAAAGGCTCTGGTGGGATTCCGACGTGAGTATGGACCTCCTCTGCCAGGCGTCTCGCTGCTCCTTTTAGTAGCCATGGGCTTCATCTCTCTGTGCTGTTGGCCTTTTTCCCCCCGATGAGATTTTTTTTTTTCCTTACAAGTGAAAGCTTTACGAAGTTTCAGTATTAAAAGAAAAAAAGATTCCTCAGAATTCACTGACCACCGCTAGGTGTGGTGGTGCGCACCTGCAACCCCAAGCACTTGGGAGGCACAGGCAGGAGCAGCCCCACCAGTTCAAGGCCGTCCTAGAGGACATAGTGAGAACCTGTCTCAAAAAATATAACAACACAGAACAAAAATAACAGAAAAAAAATTGTAATGTCCATTACAACCTAGAAAAAAATTACTGTGGAGAATTCCAAATACTGAGGACTGGGGATATAGCTCAGTGGCATAGGAGCCTGCTGGCAAGCACAAGGTCCTGAGTTCCGTCTTGGACCTGTTGCCACACACACACACACACACACACACACTTTTACCAAATATATAAACAGGTAAGAGTAGAATGAATGGCCACATGTCATAACTTTATTTATTTGTAGCCCATTCTGTCCTTCCCAGACTGGTCTGAGAGTTATTTATTAATTTTTAAAAATCTTTTTGAGGCAGGGTCTCACTCTGTAGGGTCTTGCTCTATAATTCGGGCTGGCCTCAAACTCAGGCAGTTCTCCTGCCTTGGCCTCCCAAATGCTGGGATTAAAGGCATGTACTACTATGCCTGGCCTCAAACTGGGTTATTTTGAAACAGAATGTAGATATTTTATTCTCAAGTAAATAGTTCAATGTAAAACATTTAAAAAAAAAAAAAACCTCTAAAGAATAATCACAATACCACAATCATTCGTAAGGAGTAATGAATACCTTTTTTTTGGGGGGGGGTACCAGGAATTGAACTCAGGGCCTTGCCAGGCAGGTGCTGTGCTACTGAGCTCCATCCCCAGACCAAGGAATGATAAATACTTTTACACAGTGTTTAGTGGTGCTTCTGTTTACCATGCCCACCTAACTGTATGGGACAGGATGAGCTGAATGGAGCGAGAGCTGCTTTACGCTGGGTCAGGTGGGCTGTGGGAGAGGACAGGGTCGAGCCTGCCCCACCGGCAGGCTGACCGCCCCGCAGGCTGACCACCCCGCAGGCTGACCGCCCCGCAGGCTGACCGCCAGCACGCCCTAAGCCATCATCAGTCAAGTCTCCTACATTTCTGAGAAGGCACACAGCTATTGCAGCTCCTTCTCCAAAGTGCAGGAGAGCCAGCCTGGGAGCTGCGGGCTCACAGTCGCACTCCACCCACCCGCACACCCACACCCCTCAGCTCAGCCATGCTCAGCACCCCTCTGGCCACCTTCCCGACCTGGCTTCTGGTCACTGGCCTAAGCCCCTGTGGAAAGGAGAGGGGGTGGCGTTCTCCCGGCAAGTGCGAGATGCGTGAACTACAACCTGCGGGCGCTCTGTGCCCAACGACTTGCGCTATGCTCTGAGAGCCCGGCACGCTTGTAGACCAAGGAGCCTCTGAAAGGGAAAGACCACGAGGAAGGGAGCTTCCAGACCACAAAACCAGAGAACCAAGGAGCGGCTGGGAGTTTGGCACAGGGGCCCCCTGCCTGTAATAGCACCATGGGAGGCTGAGGCATGAGGACCTCAAATTCAGGCCCAGCCAGGGCAACTTAGTGACTTAGCAAGGTCCCGTCTCCAAATAAAAAATAAAAGGCCGGGGATGTAGCTCAGGGCGAAGGCCCTGGGTTCAAATATGTACATTATTCTGTATTTACTATGAGACACTGCACCCGCAGTGGCAGGGGGAGAAGGAAACATCACCAGAGGGTGGAAATCTGGGCTAGTGAGCGTCAGAGAGCTTGGTATGAGCACCTGCCGAGGGCTGTCTCTAGCGTGGCTCGTGCTCTTGGGCACCTACAATCTGGCCTTGCTGGAGACCTTGCAGGAGCAGCCCGGGCCCCCAAATGCCCAGAACTGGGGGTGTTGGGGACATGTGGGCTGTAGGCGGTGGCAGTCCAAAGAAACCTCTGCTCCTGGACAGCTGAGCCTGGCTCTGCCCTGAGTGCAGGTTTTAGCACAGGGTGGGCGGGCCAGAGCCAGGACTTCAATCCCTCTGCAGGGTCTGCTACACCACAGGGCACCCAGCCCAGAGCAGCCAGCGCAGTACACACTGGGATCTCCATCCTGTCCCAGGTTTTGTGGGAGCAGAGGACCCGGGGTCCCCCAGGGAGAAGGCAGGTTCCCCACCACCGACTGCACTGGGGACACAAGTGGCAAAGCTGGGGGAGGCGTGGCCACTCTCTGTGCTCACCTGAGGGACACGGACAGGATCCGCTCCATCTCAATTCGCCGCTTGAGCACTTCTTTCACGAGGCCTTTGTCTGGGCCCTGTTTGACCTTTTCTCTTCCGATTAAGTACATGCACTTTGGGGTGAGCAGCAGGTCACGCTTTACACCCTGTAAGGAGAGGTGGATGTCACCGTCAGAAAGGCCAGTGTCCACAGGGCCACGTGGGCCGCTGTGACCGACCTGTAAGGAGAGGTAGATGTCACTATCAGAAAGGCCAGTGTCCACAGGCCCACGTGGGAGACTGTGACTGCGGCAGATGGACGCTGCCACAGGAGGGAGATCTTCACTGCCACCAGGATGGCTGCTCCCTCTGTCATCTAGCTGGCCCAAGAGGGAAGAGGGTGATGGAGGTGGAGATGCTGACATCGGGCTTAACTTACACAATGGCCAGCACCCCTCACCCCTCACCCCTTGGTGTCTGCATGTATTGTCTTGGGAGTCCACCATGTTTTTAAAAAAACTGATGTTTCATTGTAGCAATACTGACTAATAATCAAAGATGACCACACGGCAGCCAAGCAATCCTAGGAGCTGTCAGAAAGGCCAGTGTCCATGGGGCCACGTGGGACACTGCTCCAGCCTGCCACTGGAGCGGCCGGCGCTGTGTTTGAGATGCATCGAGTGACTCAGTGCTAGCACGACAGCATCTTTCTTACTCAAGTAATACTTTTAGCTCAGGGCCGACCTGATGGCTCAGCAGACTGAAGTTCCTGCTTAGGCAGAGCGCAGCAGCTGGGGTTTGATCCCCCATGCTGGCCTTCCCCTGGGGCACACTGAGATGGGGTTAAGACTGCGCGTGATGGTACATGCCTGCAATCCCAGTGCCTGGGAGGCCAAAAACAGGAGAATCACCATGAGTCTGACCTACAGAGTGAGACCCTGCAGACCCTGCAGACCCTGTACCAAGTACATTAAAAAAAAAAAAAAAAAAAAAAAAACTTTTAGTTCATTATTGCTTATCCTAATGCAAGAGAAAAGACAACAAAATCTAATAAGCATTGATTAATGAGCAGTTGGTTTTAAAAATGAAGCACTGAGCTGGGCGTGGTATTGCCCACCTGTGGAGGCTGAGGCAGGAGGATCACGCCAAGTTCAAGGCCAGCCTGAATTGTAGAGAGACCCTATCTCAAAAAAAACAAACGAAGAAATAAACTATTGAGTAGAATACTGTGCAGGTACATAAAATAATTCACTTTGATACATTTATAAGATATGAAAGTTTTTTCTGGCATTAAAAAAAATCCTCCGGGGCTGGGGAGACAGCTCAGCGGCATAGGCGCCTGCCTGGCAAGAAGAGCAAGGTTCTGAGTTCGCTCCCCGGTACAAAAACAAAAAAACTCTCAGGATACAGAACAGTATGTAAGGCGTATTTGCTTTTCTCAGTAGAACTAAATATAGAAATGCAATTTCCACCGGAAAAGGTCTGAAGGTCGCGCACACGGAGCCGGCAGTGCTTGTTTCTGTGCGTAAGAGGCCGTTTTTCTTTTGGCCTGGCCAGGCTTTTAAAATCTTTCTACAGTGACTGTGGCCTCCTTGAGTAACGGAGAACAGCGACACCCCAAGCTGCACGTGCACAGGCGAGGCGCGGTCGGAAGCCCTGGGCTGGAGCGTGTACCTTGAACCGCCGGTCGTACTTGGTGACTGTGTCCGCGAAGTCGATCTTCTCCCGCTTGCCCACGAACTGCTGGAGCTCGGGGTGCCCCTCCATCCCGATGTAGTCCCCGATGAAGTTCCGGTTGATACTGTTGCGCCTTCTTTCCTTCTTGTTCAGCAGCAGGTCTGAGGCTGCAGTTGCCGAGAGAGGGCACAGGAAGAAAGGATGCCGAGCCAGAAATGGAGGAAGAGACGAGAGGCACAGAAAGGAACCGTGAGCGGGGCGCCAAGTCACATAACTTCTGCATTTCAGGGAGGGGTCTACAGGGGCTCAGGGGCTCACTACTAGGTCGGGCTCGTAGTGATCCGCCTGTTTACAGCCTCCCAGGCGCTGGGATCACAGGAGAGCGCCACCACGCCCGGTCTACAATTTTTCAATAACTCATCTGAGCACAACCTCACGGAGATGAAACAAAGGACAAAAACCACTACGATACCTTCTTCTCTCATTTGGACATACTTCTTCCGGGCCACAAACTTTCTCCAGGACTTCTGTATCACTCGGGCGTACCCGTCGTACTTTCTCTCTCTCATTTCTTCTAGAAGAAACAGCTGCGAGTGCAGAGAAAGCCCCCGTGAGCCGCCCCGAAGGTCTGGACTTCGCTTTTTGTGGCTAGCATTTCAGGGCGGGCATGCAGTCCAGCATACACGCGAGAAGCGGCTCCAGGCGGAATGAATGACCAGTGTGGCACGGTTCTCTGGCCATAGACATTTTAATTTTTTAACCTCTATGTTTTTGCTTTCATTAAAAAGCAAGAGCTGGGGGGCCAGGGAGATGGTTCTGTGGAATAAGCGTTTCCCTGGCAAGCGCAAGGGTCTGAGTTCAATCCCCGGTTCTGCCAAAAAAAAAAAAAAAAAAAGAAAAAAAGAAAAACCTCTGGGGGCCTGCCTTTAAAAGTAGCTCAGCTCTTTAAGTGGCTGCTTCAACAAAGCCGTCAGGCTCAGGTTGCTGTGGTTCGATCCCCACAACTCAAGCCAGCCAGTCATGCCTTGAAGGCATTCGGAACAAAAAAAAACAAGAGCTGGGTGCATGCTGGCAGTGTCAGCCTGGGCCACACAGTGCATTCAGGCCAGCCTGGACCGCAGCGCCCGCGCTGGGCAGGCCCCCTGCCTGAGCCTCCCCGACGGATGAGCTGCTGGGCCTGCTCCATAGCCCACGCTGACGGCTGCTCCCAAGCTCAGCCAGGCTGCAGTGCGCGGAGTGTCCACAGAGTCGGGCATCCTGCAGGCCCGCGACTGCACCGTTCATCACCTGGACACCTGCCAGGCTCCTTGCTGCATTCCCCAGAGCGGTGCATGGTGGCCATGCGGTAACCCTGGTCCTCAGGCTCTCATCACCTGCATGGTCAGGTTTTGCCTCTGTAAATCTGTGCTTAACCACCCTGCACAGGGTCGGGGAGCCTTCTCATCCACTGTGGGAAATCAATTCTCCGGGGAAAAGATACACCGGGCCATTGTGAGCCCAAGGGAAAGATGAGTAGTCCCTGCCAAAGCCATTCCAGTTCCAGAAGGTTCCAGAAGCCAGCCAGCACCTGGGGCAGGCAGAACACACACTGATGCCTCTTTTGCTCTGCTGAGTTTCCAAGCAAGCCTGGCTTCCTTCTCCTTTCCCAGAGCTAACCGTGAAGTGTCACACAGCATGCACTTATGACTCAGAGGAGTGGTGCAGCGGTGAGTGGCCCTAGCTTCTTACAGACCATTTAGGGTTTTTCCAAGAGCCCGGGAAGTTAGAAATCAGGAACATCCAAAAATAGAGAACAGCGCTGGAGAGTGAGCTCCGTGGTGCAGCCCTGCCCGGCAAGCTGAGTCCTAACAGAGAACAGCGGCGGCGGCCGGCCGGCCGGCCAACACAGACGCATGAGGGGAGAGAGTAAAAGCAATGCTTGGCGTCTGCTGGCCAATGCTGACTTCTAAAAGCAAGCATAGCGTGCAGGTTATTTTGTGAATCCAGCATGCCTACGTGAAGGTTGATGCACAATCAGACAACCGATCTTAAGAGCCAGCCTCTGCAAAGCAGCCGCAGGTCAAGATTGGGCATGGACAGGAGGCAAGCAGTGGCACAAATGCAAGTGCAGGAAAGCAAAGTGAAGAAAACCCAAAAATAAGTCCTAGTTTTGGATCTAAACTCTCCAAGCTCAGCTGAATCAGAATTTTAAAAAATATGAAAAACACTGAGGTCATCTTAATTCCACAGGAACGCTGAGCAAGCTGAGAAGTGAGAGCGGTCGGAACCTACAGTGCTCAGGGCGTGCGCACGAGCCTGCCGTCCCGTTTTAGAAAGGCCCGGAACCGCCCTGTGGGTGGCTTAATGGCGCATGACAACATTTCCACTTTATATTTGGAAATGACATTGCTGCAAAGCTGCAAATAGCTCAGAGTGGGAAATGCTGCCACAGACTTTTCATAAACGGCCCTACGATGTGCTATTTATTTAGCCATCATGACGATTCCGGAGCCAAGCATTCAAGCCACCAGAGTGCTGAGCCCCAGGCCCGTCCCAGGGGGCAGGAGGGATGGAGCTCGGCCAGGCCCGGTCGGCCTCCAGGCCAGCACTTTGGTCTTTCCTAACTTCCCACTGTCTCCCCTCGGTCTGGCGACCATTTCTGCGGAGTTCTCTGCTGACTCTTGAAGTGGAGTCTTGTGATGACTGTGGGGCCCTCGAGACTCAAGGATGCCAGATCTCTGTTCTAGCAACTGCCTAATTTAAGAAGCAACGTCCTTGCCGGGGAGAGAGCTCAGCGGTGCAGCGCCTGCCCAGCAGGCAAGCGTGAGGCCCTAAGTTTGAGTCCTGGCACCCCAGGGGCCTCAACCCACAGCCTGTGCCTAGAGGGCACAATCGCTCAGGGGCTTTGCCTGCTCTGCCGCGGACATTCCCCAGGCTTCCCGCGTCCATCTGTAGTGGACAGAAGCTGCACGAACTGCAGCACACGCGCAGCTGTCTTACAGGAAGCATGTGTGTTCCAGAGACCCACAGCTTTGCTCCTTCACCCTTCCTCGGCACCTGGACGGTCCTCAAGCACAATCCAGGACTCAGGCCTAGACTTGGCTCTGCCCCCAAGGAAACAGCCTGTGCCTATGTGTCACAGTTCTGTTTCTGTCACCCAGACAAGGCTCCAGCTTGGAAAAGGCCCCTTTCTGATGAGACACAGGGGACAGCTAAGGGGCGCTGTGTCCATGGCTCTCAGTATACACTGGCTTGTATCTAGACGACCCTAAAACCTCCCACTCTCCTGGGTGGGGACTTGGGGAGGTAGGTGGGTCATGGGCGTGTGATATTAGTACTAAGGTTGTGTGACAAGGAAATGGGTTTAGCATAGTTTTAGGTGTGCATAATGGAAGTCCCACCCTGGGCGTGGGTGGCACCAGCCAGGAGGTTTGTCGCCTGGATAGAAAATAAAGAGACAGAAAGAAGAAGGGCGCTGCCTGGGCCTCCTGCCCACCCTGCCATGGACTGCTTCCCCTCTGCCTGCTGCCTAGCCTTGGAGCGAGCTGACTATGGACTGAAACCTTTACACACTGCACAGGTTTGAAGCTTTCTTCCTTTAACCTGTGGCTGTTGTATATTTTGTCCCAGTAACAAAAAAAGTAACATGAACTCATGAGAGGCGACGTCTCTCACACATGAGAAGTGCTCTGTGTGAAGAAGCTGGTGTGACCGCGTGCAACAGGGGCCGCCCAGGCTGGGAGGGCAGGGAGCATCAGTCGGCACAGGGCCGGCAGGCGAGCACAGGATGGCCACTCACGGATTCGGGGGCTTTGATGAACACTTTGCTCCTGCCCAGCTGGAACTGGTCGCTGTCCATGTTGACAGACTGCAGCAGGTGCAGGACGCCTTGCTTCTCATCGCCGTGCCAGGCTGGCCAGGTGGCTTTGGTCAGGATGGCGTACCTGTGTGACAAAGGGAGGGGCTGCAGGTCCAGCTGGGCCTCCTGGCCTGGGCGCGCCCGCCCGCCCACCCTTTCCATGGGACGCCCCACTCCTAGCACTGCCCAGGAGCAGCACTGCTGCAGGTCACCAGCAACACCTGTCAGGCAAAACGAGGCAAGGCTGGTCTCAAATCCAGTCTCCCCGGGGGGCAGGGTGCCGAGCGATGAGTGTGGGACCGTGCCAAGCTGCCCGGACAGTGCGGGGTAGGTCTCACTGCGAGGCACCAGCCTTTGTCCTTGAACACCACAGGCCGAGTACTTGCTCCTGCGGCCACCCCACCCCCCTGCTTCCTTCCTGGAGGATTCAGCTGTGAGAATGTCCTCGCTCAGACCAGCTCGCCGGGGCCATGCCAACCCCAGAGCTCCTCCTGCGCTGGTACCTTCCAGCCCTCCCAGGGTCCCCACCTGAATTACTCCCTCATTTTCTCCCATGGACCCTCTTCACAGTGACATTCACAATGACGTCATGTTTGCGCTTATTTGGGGAAACTGCTTCCCTCAGGAGGGTCCACACCTGGAGAGTGGGTGCCCAGTCTGGGGCCCTTGGGGCACGGGCAGCACCTCAACAACAACAACAGCCAACATGAGGGGCTGTGCGTCTGGGCTTCGCTCTCCACAGCAGCGCTGGAGCCTCACAGCCCTGTGATCAGGCTGGTTCCCCGCGCTGGGTGAGCAGATGCGGCGGTGAGTGGAGACAAGGCTACTTACGGTGCTGCCCTGAAAATAAGACCTAGCTGGAAAATAATTAGCCTTGAAAACTAGAGATCCAAAACCATCCTCACATCCCTCACAGCAGCACTACCAAGCCAGAGAGCAGTCCAGGCAGGTAGGTGAGGGCAGGCTGCGTGGGGCTGGCGTTGTAACCTCTCGTTTGCAAGGCAGATTAAGTGTCAGAGCTGGGATCTGGACCTCAGCCTCTCTGCAAATGGCTCTACATACAAGTCATGGGTGCCTCATAAGCAAATGTTTACTCTGAAGGCTGTTAAAAGTATGCTAGACAGGACTAGGTTAGAATTTCTGTTGTCAGAGGCTGACATAATCAAGAAGAGGCTCTCAAGGGAACAGGTTGGTGCAGGTGCACAGCTGCAGGGCG